TTTTGGGGGTGGTAGGGGGCTAGGGGTAAGGGAGAGGGTGGGGTTAAAAAATTGAAGTTAAAAACATTTTTTAAAAACAAGCTTTAAAAATATTATTTTTGGGGGTGGTGGTTGGGGTGAGGGGGGAGCTGATTTGAGGGTAGAGACAAAATAAATTGATTTTTTCAACAAACAAAAAAATTGTAATTTGAAGTTGGAAGAGAATTTTGAAAGGAAGTCATTTTTCTTAAATTTGAGGAAAATTAGTTGATTTGAATTTTTTTTTCAAACAATGAAAGGTACGAAAATAAGGATATAACAATGGATGTGTAGACATACTAAAAGAAATAAAATTATACATGAGAATATCTAGAATAACGTGCTAGTGACTTTGATGAAGGACAAAATGTGCGGAACAAAACTAAAATGGCTCAGATATATTATTAAAAAGGAATTGCATGATTGCCCATTTAGTTGTTGCAATTTTGAACGTTACATGTGTTCTTGCATAAAAAAAAATTGTTCTTTATATTCATTCTACAATCATCTTTGTCGTTTTAAAAATGAAATAACTTTGTCAGTAACTCTATACCTGCTATGTTAGTGTCTCTTTTAAAACTACACCTGCATCTCGTTTGATCTTATCGCTTTACCCTTACACATCTTACAAATAACATCAGAAACCCCATCAATCTTTATATGTTACAATACCTACCATCGTATTGCCTATCTGAGCGCTCCAACTTTCATAACACAATGTTTAATATTTTCAATTCAACATTTCTAATATTTTTTCTTTAAAAAATAAAATCATTTTTTAATATAAATACATCATAATCATCAATAAAATTTCAATATCGTAATCAAGAGAGGTAATATTTCAACCGAATTTAAATATAAAAAACATATAGTTTATGAATTACGATACAACCAACTCAAAAATATAATATCATTCAAAATCAATAACAATACATTATAATTAAGAAAATATATATTTGAGTCTCTTAATAATATTTATAATATAAATTACTAAGAATATTATTATTTATTCTTTAATTATTTATATTTATTTTTTTATTTTATTTTATTTTATTTTATTTTATATTATATTATACTCCATTTCAAATTAATTAAATTGTTAAGGTGATTCACACTCTTTAAGAAAAGAAGATTAAGACATAAATTTCTATTTTTTACCCTTATTAATTATTGTCAAATTTATGGTTAAAATAACTAAATATTAATTATAATAACTAATTCCAATACTATCTAATGAAGGGTTTAATTGAAAGAATATTCTAAAAATAATTTTGAAAATTGAACAATTAAGTTAATTTGAATAATGAAAAATGTTCAACAATTTAATTAATTTGAAATGAAGTGAATATATATTTGTGGAGGAAACAAAGAACCTATAGGGGGCATGTTTTTTTTAAGGCCAAACCCATCGATAGTTCTCTAAAGTTGGCAACAAATTTCACTTAGATACCTCAACTAAGAGATGCTCATTTTAGACACTTCATGTAGGATCCCATTATATTATTTTGACACTTTTCTGATAATAAATAACATGTAGGATCCCATTATATTATTTTGACACTTTTCTGATAATAAATAAAAAATTGAAGGAGAGTGTAATACACTCGTTAATGACGGGGCAAGCAATAAATTAAATGATTGCATGTGTTAATCATATGCCAATTTGTCACATGTGGAAACTAGAATGGCAGTTTGGTAAAATCTAGAATTTGTTTTGGCAAATATATATCTCTCTCGCTACCCATTTTTTTTTCTTTCAAGAAGGTTCTTGAACGCTCTAAAACCATCTCCCAATTACATTACAAACAGGGTGACGAAACCCTAAGCAGATCGAGCGAAGAAGAGAACGCCGGAGAAAATGTCGCATTTCGGGAGAACTGGCCCGCCGGACATCGCTGATACTTACTCTCTCCTTGTCCTCAACATCACTTTCCGTAAGCTTTTCCTCTTTTTCCCTTTGAGCGATTTCCCTCTATTTCCAATTGTTCTTATCTTGTTTGTTTATCGTCTTCTTTTTTCTTTGCTGTAACAGGTACCTCGGCGGATGATCTCTTTCCTCTTTTCGACACGTATGGCAAGGTTGTGGATATCTTCATTCCCCGGGACAGAAGGTTCTTGAATCTTTCTTTGCCTTTTTTTAGGAAAAGAAATTAAAGAATTTTAAATTCGGTACAGGATAACTGACTGTAACGTTCTTCCTCAATTAACTAATATCGATCCGGATTTTTTTAGGTTTATTATATTCTCTATGAAACTATCCATTCTGATCTTTTCAGGACGTTTGCCCAAAAGAATTAATTAGTATTCGGACTAAATTAATTGTAGTGTCTCACAAAATTGTAAATAGATTAAAAGGTCTTTCCAAGGATGACCTTAACCATTTGTTAGTGCAGTCTTATCCTTTAAAGAACAGGAAAAGATGAACAAGTACAAAGTTTTTTCTCAGCCTTTCTTCAATGGACATATGTAATGGGTGAGCTTAATTCTCAAAATGTTGTTTTGCGGTGTACTAATCTGCCAAAGAATCTTTTACCTTACCTGTGACACCATGGGAACTAAAATTATTTGTCCATAGAAGAATGACTTAATTGTATTTCAAAAGTTCTGTGCAACTCAGTACATGTGCATGTATGAATGATTTCTAAACTTCCATTGTCACTTATTTATATTTATTTTATTTATATGTTGGTCTTGTAACAGGACTGGTGAGTCACGTGGGTTTGCGTTTGTTCGTTACAAGTATGCAGAGGAAGCACAAAAGGCTGTAGATAGGCTGGATGGTACTTCACTAACCTTTTTTTTTCTTCTGAAGTTGTGCTCTGCATATACTGGGTATTATTTTTTTTGCATGGTGTTCTGAAAATCCTGTACTAAGCTCTAGTAGGAGGCTTTTTTAGTTGAGTTAACTAGTCAGGTCATATAACTGAGCAAATGAAAAGCCTAGGTCATACTGATAGTAATGTCTCTAGCTTAGATCAAGAGCCAGCAGACCATGGTTTCTGGGAGATTGTCGATGATGGGTGGAAAATTTTTGTGAGGGTGAGAAGATAGAAATTTATCAAACATGATCGCAGTTTGACTGAATTAAGAGACAATTGTTATAACATCTTACAGAGTGAAAAAATGTGAGCACTGTATTTTATATGCTATAATGGCCACACATCCCTGTTTCATGTGATGTGCAATGTTTAACATGTCAGTTACCTAGGTTTTCACACTTAAATCCGAAGGTGGTGGTGAATCTGAATTGAGAAAATATAATCTCTTAAACTTGAAACTACCTAGGTTCTTACTTTATGCCAGATTACTCTATTCACTTATTTCTGCTTTTGTAATTTCCTATGTCAACCACTCTTCCCTTTTTAGTTGTACTTTAAACAATCTAGTCCTTGGTAAATGTGGCATTGCTTGAAAAAAATCCTGCCCTATAAATTGCAGATCTAATGTTCTTTCATATGAAAACCTCAAATCACTTGTCTGACTTGTTGGGATGGATTGGATATTCCCTTTTCCCCTTCTGGCACCACCCATGTCTTCCGCCAATCCTGGTAGATTAGGGTTGCCATTTTTTTGGAACTACGACGATCAATCGCACACGAATCAACTTCTGAGTATGTAAATCAATCAAACTTGCTTGTTTCCAATAGCAGTGGCTGAATTAGTTAGGTGGATGCACATCTTGGGGTGTAGTTAGATAGGTCGGGCTTAATGAGATTGACAGCGATCAATGCTGTTAATAGATAGGGTCCAGTTGGGCTATTTGCTACTTTTTACATGTGAAAAGTAATGTGCCTTTTTTATTCCGTATGTTAAATTTCCCACATTCTGAATGTGTACGAGTACCCCCCCCATCCCTGTGTTTTTAATCGAGACAAGGTACCTATTAGGTAGCATCTTGGAATGTGTTAATTTTAAACTACTATTATTTGTTAAAAATCACACACTTTGTTGCTCAAAGTGAGGAGACGATGTGGTTAATGATTTTTTGGTGAAGCCACGCTCTTTAAAGAAGTTAGCGCTTCAAAGTTCAAACAATGGGGCACAAAATGATTCCAGAGAGTCAGTTGCTCCGCTAAATCTCAACATTAGCTGCATATTATCTTACCAACTGAAATCTCTTTTCAACCTTATTTGTATGTTCTGATTGCATTTTATCTTGTTGAATATGTTTAGAGATACATATGTTAATAAGTCTGTGTATGCCTTTTTTGGCAGGAAGAGTGGTTGATGGACGGGAAATGGCTGTTCAATTCGCCAAATATGGGCCAAATGCAGAACGAATGTGAGTAACTGGTTCATTTGCAAGTATATTTTAAGCGTGTGCTTCAAATCTTCTATTGTGCATATTCTACTGGAGCCTTGAATGAATTGCATGGTTCTGTCCTCTTCTCTTTTTATTACTTTAAAGGACCTTTGTCTTCCTCTGGGATAATTCGACTTTACCCCTTGACGCCTTGTTTATGGACTCTCTTAAGTTTCTGATCTCATGCTTTGTTTGATCTCAGTCACCAAGGGAGGATCATTGAGAAAGTTCCTGGAATCAAGGGAAGCTCAAGAAGCAGAAGCCCTCGTAGAAGGTCGCCCTTTCCAACTGTACCTACCATGTTGTTCTTTGAACTGTGTTTTTTGTATAGATATTTGCGATGTTATTGATTTTCACCCGCTGATTGTCTTTACAAACTATTTTGGACCTTGCCCTTTGCTTGCCTGTTTTGACTACTTCAGTTGACATGCCAGGTCTTATAGGATAGGACAATTACAAAATATAAGGTCAAAGTGTTACTAACTCAAGTGGATGGGCTTTGTCAGTATTAGCCAGCTACTTCTCTTTGCTTTTGTTTCTAATACATAATTCTCTTAATATAAGTATATAGGAAAAGACAAAAGTAAATGAGGCTAAAATTATATCCAGATGTTCAGTTACTTTCATGGGGAACGGGAAGGCAACTATGCTTTAACCAGGCACAATCTACTACATCATGACCAACAGTAGTAATTAGGTTGACTAGAATGCAAAGGTCAATATGTGAGAGCGAAAAATTGGTGACTGGACAATTGGCGCTATCTGGACATGATTTAGTTTTTCAATGGACAGAGGAAGGACTGAAGTTATTTTGAGGGGGGAGGATTATTAATACGTCTTTTCACAAACTGCATTTGGTAGCGACCTAGTGTTGGTTTGTGTTTAATTTATGCTTAGGTTTCCTAGTTATGGTATAACTCCTTACATAAACTGAATTTGCAGAAAGTGGTCATGCATCTGGTTAAATTGGGGTTGTCCAAGTGGGTCTGACATGTAGCAAGTTAATTTTATTACCGTTGTCTACTCACAGTTATTATTCTAATTTCTTTGCTAATTCGTGGCTGTATTCTATGGTTAGCTCATCTTTTCAACCCTTTGGTGGTTGAAGATCTCAGTGACGAGCAAGAGGAAGATAATGGAGGGGAAGATGAACCTTTCCTAGGAAAAAAACTAGGCAAAGAGAAAAGAGGAAAGATATTACTTCATATGAGATTTTATGAAAATCTCTGAATTCTGGATATTGTGATTCTCTATCATTCTGAGCATGACAGTGCTTGACTTTTTTTTGAGAATGGTAACAGATAATCTATATATCCACAGGCATTCTACATCAAAATATGTAGTCCCCCTTCAAAAGTATAACAACTTACAGCTTGAACATCTTTCTGTTGTTCCTATAAATAGTCTAAAACGTCAAAAATATCTTCTGTTTGAGCTATTAATTTCTGTTTACACCAAAAATAAAACAGAGCTAAACAATTCATTTTGAACACCTGGAAGTTGCTCTGCTTGTCTTCAAAACATCTCCTATTCCTTTCTTTCCACATTGTCCACGAAATGCATGTAGGGACAATTTTCCATCTAAATAGTGCTTGACTTCTGTTCCTTCCTCCCTGCTTTAGCGTTCTTGGAAGTGTAATGTGTACTGTCAATTAGTTTTTTTGTGATAAAATTGACCACAAATTATATGAATAATTTGCATGTCTTGATAAAAAGTAGCAACAACGGAACTTTTTTTTTTGACAAGGGAAACCCGCAGCCGCTACCCCTTTGGGTGCGCACAGGGTAAAACCCCCGTTCCTATGCAATAGCTCGCAAACCACATAGGAGAGGTAATCCGCACTAGGCAAGCCCGGTGCGACGAGCTCGACTCAGAAGGCAAACCCCTTTGCTTTCGCTGGCAAGGGGTTTCAAACTTGAGACCTCCAACATGGAAGTCCCAAGCCACCCCGAAGGGTAACAGCGGAACTAATTATGCCAAGTATTTTATATTGGTGGTGTGCTGCAGTATTTTATTTTCAACAATTTTTCAGAAATTAGCTTGAAATAAAACCTTTTAAGATGTACCCTTCGGGTGGCCCAATGGTTTGGGCTTGGGACTTCCATGTCGGAGGTCTCAAGTTCGAAATCCCTCCCTAGCGAAAGCAAGGGGTTTGCCTTCTGGGTTGAGCTCGTCACACCGGGCTTACCTAGTGCGGGTTACCTCTCCTATGTGGTTTGCGAGCTATTGCATAGGAACGGGGGTTTTACCCTGTGCGCACCCAAAGGGTAGCGGCTGCGGGTTCCCTTGTCATAAAAAAAAATAAATCCTTTTAGATGTTCTTCTCAAGTTTGGTTATTGCATGCATTTTTCCTCAAGCTGTTTCTACCTATCTTCATTTGGTATCACCTATTCTGGGGGAAAAGGTGTCCAAGAGTTGAGGTGTTTCTGGCGGAGCAGATGCATATGGTCCATGTGGAAAGTAAGAAAGTTAAGATATAGAAGGCAAATAACATTTAAGATTCGACAGTTCACTCTTATTTTTTCATTTTATCTTTTTTACATCTTTAAACATATTTCTATTGTTCATAAGTTGTATAGTCCATGGAAGACTTCAATGAGAATGCTATTAGGTGATACAAATGTTGTTGTGTTATATGATCATAAAATACCTTAGAGTAGAGCAGGAAACTGTGTGATGCTCACAAAACACAAGTTACTTGGTAGAAGGAAAAAAACCCATTTCTACGCTTATCAAGTGCCTGGACCTGCATATCTGGTGAAGCTAGAAGTGTGCTGATTGTTATTTTCTTATAGTTTTGCCTGGAGTCTGAGCTTATGAGCTCAAAATGCAAGCTGCATACCGTGTTGGTAAGATAACACACATGGAAAACCGCTTTAGGGAAAGCTTGTCTGTAGATTATGTCCAGATGGTCTCTTAGTTGCGGAAATAATCTTTGTTCAATAATGACTGACAGCTTTCTTCATTTAGTGTACATCTGGTGATTGATCTTGGGTTGATGAGTTGGTTTTCGCCTTCAACAGATACCGTGATGACTATCATAGAGATAGAGAATACAGGAGAAGTAGGAGCAGAAGCGTTGATCACTATGAGCGTGATAAATATCGGCAGAGAGAGCGGGATTATCGCCATCGGTCCAGGAGCCGCAGCTTAAGTCCAGACTATGATCGAGATCGTGGCAGGGGAAGTGACAGAAAACATCATAGGCGGAGCCCATCAGTTGACAGGTTTTTACTTGATCTATTATATATGATGTGTATTGTCTTGTGTTTACATTATATCAGGCAGTTACTGTGAAATTTATTGCAGTGCCTCCCCAGCTCGGCGTAGCCCCAGTCCTCACAGGAAAGAGTCTCCTCGTAGAAGCTTATCACCTACAAAAGGAAGTCCTGAGAGGCGTGTTCGCAATGAACGCTCTCCAACTCCTCGAAGTCGTTCCCCTCCAGGTCGAGCAATGGATTCACGAAGCCCTTCTCCTCGTGTTGATGAGGTGTTAACATGAGCTTTGGTCCGATGGATCCTATTTTTCTGATTAAATCTATTTGTCAGGTCATTTATGCTCTTTTTTTCTCCAAATTTTCAGGATTGATTTTCTGGTGGCATAATATGAGAACAAGCAGACAAGTGCATCAACAACTTTAGCTTTCTTCTGAATGTGTTGAAACACAAAATGTGATGCAATTTCTAGGCAGAATATTAGCTGACATTTTGGTAGGACTGGTCTCCTGGTGTTAAATGTTTCTGTACTCTATGTACTGCATGCCTTTGCTATCTTTAAGTTTTCAGTGTTATGGTACTAGGTTGTGAACTTAAAATGAGTCATGATGTTGCAACTATATTGATGGATTCCTCATAGAACACTTTTTGCAGTATGCTTACAACTGTTGCTTCTCTATATTCCTTCGTACTGCTGCACTTCTCACTATTAAGACAGTATGCTTCGTATGGATGTACTAACTTTGTAACCAAACTCATGCTGGGTTTTATAGTTATGATCGAGAGAAGGTTGGTGAGGTTGATATCAGATGATGATGATGGTGATATGGCTGCCAATCCTCATAATTATAGTTAGTTCGTGAATTTGAGGAGGCTGATTGGTAGATTGTGTGTTGATTGACAGTGCTGATGGTTAGCTGTTGATATGCAGCTTCTGATGCTGTTTGTAGTTAAATGTATTTGCAATGCATGAACAGCAGATGCTGGCTGGAGATTTTCTCCGTGCACCTGTGTATAATATATTGGGTAAGCCTTTTTCTCCGGTCAAGAGCTCACAAGTCTCATCATGTTTTCATCCATAGAAAAGGAGCTCATCACATTCTTATATTAAATATATAAAAATAAGCTTCAATCAAGGATTAGTTTTCCCAAAGAATGTAACTTTCTCTTTCTAGCTTGTACTTTCTTTGTTTTTGGGTAGTCTTTTGCTAAGTTTTGGTGCTTATAAATTGTCTCTAAAAAGGGATGGGATGCAACTGGTTATGTAGGATGGACAGAGGATGAATCTACCTCTGTGCCTGATGCAGCTAGTGAGGTGTCCCCATTGGCAAAGCTGATGCTAGTTGTCGTACGTGCTGGCCCCTGGAAAGGGTGAACATCTCATGTGGTCTATTTTGCCCCCAACGTGCATAACAGATGAGAATTATCATACCCTAACCAGCCAGATGATCATGTCTTGTTGTGATGCTTTTGTTGACATTTTCTTGCTCGTGGATCGTGATTGTAGCTGAATGAAAGGCTGGTTCATTGTCCGTTCGAACATCCTTTTAGCTTCTGGGTGCCCCTGATCTTCCAGAACTTCACTTGATCTGACGTTATCCTGTATGTAGCTGATGGTCTCCTTGGTGATTCAGCTTCAGTGTGTTTTTTCGGTGTTTGTGTTGTTTTATATTTTTGATCCCCATGGCTCTACAGGTCAAGGTTATTATAAATTCTGTTTTTAAACCTTAAAAACCAACGAATTTGTTGGTTGAATCTCTCAACTATCCCCTTTGGTCTAATAGGCTGTGGGGGTCTCTGCAATAGTTAATATAGATGAGGTTGGTACAACCTATTTGTATCGAAGGCTTAGTATATTGTAGGATAAATCACAGGTGTCTTGGGCATCTGAGTGTTTGTCTTATTAGTAATATACACAATAGGCACAGTGACTGGGCATTGCTCAAGGTCAAAGCTGTGGTTGACTTTTACAATTTGTTTGTAGTGCTGTAAAATATTGGTCATAAGGATTAAGGAGTGGATTTTGTCTGCAGCATCCATCTCTGTTCTACTGTTGCCACTTGAGTTGTGGTTAGTAGTGTTTGCCATTGTGCAGTTTGACCGTGTATAGCCATGCTTCTGTTTCCTGCAGTTAAACGTTTATTTGTGTGCACCTCGTTTTGTTCTATAATTTTAGGTTGATTTAATGTCTGATAGACAATTGGTTGAATGACACTGATATTGGGCAAGGCATGAGTCCCTGATTTTTGGAGAACCATCTCCACGAGGAAAATGGTCTGCTGATTATGAATCTCTTTGGTTGTTTCTGTGCTTTTCATTTAGTTAATCTACTTTAATCGACCTTCCGACATGGTTTTCTGCCTTCCAATACTCGAATAAAGCAAATATTATATTTATATTTCCTCGAGTAATATTTCTTGTTAGCTATTAACTTATGTTGGGCCTTGCAGCTTAAATTTGGTGTAAATCAAATCGGATGATCACCTTTTGGACTGCTTGTTAGTGATATTTGGTGACCATTTGGAAAGTAGTGGAAAATGGCCACATTTCAATACAATTCGAACAAAAATACCATACAACACAAAAGGAGCAAATGAGATCTAACTAGTTTTCCTGGAGTAGGCATGCGGTGCTTGAATTAAACTTTAAAAAGCTTTGAATTGTAATGTATTGCTCTCTTATTTCATGTAGTAGTAATTTTGGATAAATTTTATTTCGTGTTTAAGAAAAGAATCTAAACATTAAATATTTCAGAACAGTGGAATACCATTTATCGGGGTCTCCGAATGACAACAGCTATTTGCTCATTTCTCCTTAAATTGTTTGGTACAGAATGTATAATGCACCAACTTGTATTTTAGTGCGATTTTCTTTATAATTGAAAGAGTGTTAACGGATTTAGCGTTGAAGTGGAAGTAGTCGTCATCCTATTATGATATTTAGAAGGCCAGCAATTAGGCATCCTAGTTAACTTGTATTTTAGTGCGATTTTCTTTATAATTGAATGTTAACAGATTTAGCGTTGAAGTGGAAGTATTCGTCATCCTATCTGTGATAATTTAGAAGGCCGGCAATTAGGCATCCTAGTTATAGACTTGCTGCAGAAGTCTGGGATTTGCCATTTCACTATTATGATATTCTCTATTTACTTGTTTAATATTTCCTAATTTGATGCCCTTTTTTACTTGTCATCTTTTCACAAATTAAGAAAAAACAATTTATTTATTTCTATTATACTATCAATTTATTAACATTGAGTTGATGTCTTTGAAAATGTAGTGAGTAAATATATTTGGGAACTTATTATTCAATAAGGGTAAAATAGTGAACTCACTATACCAATCAACATATTTTTAATAAGTTGTGCCAAGTCAAAATTTGACAAGTAAAAAGGGCTAGATGGTGTAATTTAGAAGGCCAGCAAGCATAAACTGTCTGTTAGCAAGAAAAAAGGGCAATTATGATATGATAGGATTAGTAGTGTCGAGACTTATCTTCAAGACTTTGCTCTTAACTGCAAAATTATTTACGAGCTGTATAAATTATTGCTGAGAAGTTTTAAGGGCGATTGAGTATAAATTTGTCTAATGTTTTTGGTGATTTGGAAACTCTTCATCATTAATGGACTGCACCACATCAAAGATGTGAGATGTCAAAATTATATAGTTGTTACTGACTTTCTATTTGTGTCATTCAACATTTTGATCAAGGCGGATAGGTGACTCGTATTACTGTTTGTCACAATAATTCGGCTTTGATTTCCAAAATCCACAAGAGAGGATTTGGTAGAGGAGAAAATAACGAATTGAATAATATGTATGCTATCACAGTAAATTACATAATAACACGCCATTTATATTCTAAGAATTGATATTGAAGCCATAAATACGAATGAGGATCCTAAGACAGCCCTAATGACAGGATTGAATCTTCAAGCCATGATCTTCAGTTCACTTTTCTACGTGGCAGAGGTTCAAGTAAACGATATCCTAACACATATTTGGTTGTCAGTTGTGGTACTGCTATTGTACCATTGAATGAAGAAAAGAGGCAGAACATAAAAAGTTGGACACAGCAGAATTACTGAAATATCCTACTTTCTCGTACAGCATTAGAAACCAAAATCTTGTTTAATATACAACGAATTGGTACAAGATGACATGGTAATTACAATCATCATAGATCCTTCTTACTCATTCATCGGAAGAATGGGAGCCTTTGCCTCCAAGTGTCTGAATTATGGCCTCTAGAAGTTTGATTTCCTTATCTCGCTTGGATATCTCTAATTGCTTTGCACGCAGCTCTTCCATGTGCAGCTCAAATACTCCTGCAACCACAGAGGAACACGTAAGTGCAAATCCATTTGGTGAGTACATGGCTGGAAATGACAAGACCCAATTCTCTGATAACTCCAGATGACTGATTGTGTATTATAATGTTCACTCTTGTTTTACAACCAAACGAAACCAATTAGGTTTAAGACAGATAAAACATACTTGTGGTATTTTCAAGCTCTCTTGTAACCTCTTGTGCACGTAGTTCAGCAGCCTTCTGAGCTGCCTCAGCCTGTCTTTTCTCAGTCCGTGCATGAGCAGCAGCAGAAATAGCATTATCTAATTCTCGCTCTAAAGTCTCAACTCTTTGTTCAAGAACCTGTAGCCATAGAATAGTCATTACTTTAATAAATAGTGGCAGCAAGAATACAACAACATTTACGCCTTGTCCCAAACAAGATGAATTTTCAATGTTTCTCCATTTAAACTCATCTCAAGCTAATATTATATAAAATCAACACAATTGCTAAAAGTTCTTTTTTTTTGGTAGAAATTTTCCATTAGCATATATATCTCGGGTGGGCTAAGAGAATCCTACAAAGCATACAACCTAAAGTTACGGTACTAATATACCATAGCATATTTTCAACTAATTGGTATCACCTATATAATAATTTTCTTCCATACCCACTTGTGAGGACTATAGAGGGTATGGTGTATGTTGTTGCATTGTGCTCTATCTTTCTCTAAGTCTGCATGGATTTCAGGAGCTTGTAAATCCTTAAAGACAACTTCCCTTCACTTGATTTTAGGTTCGTATCGTCTCTTTTAATACCTCCACTCTCCATGTTTCACACCTATGAACAGATGCATCTAGAGGTTGACATAGGATATGACCAAACAGTCTCAAACGACTTTCTCTTATTTATCCTTGATGTGTGTTGCTGGCACTACCAAGCAAATGTGGACACTTTTAGTCGTATCTGATCTTATATTACCGCACACTCATTTTAGCATCCACAAAATCTTCATTTGGCACTCATCTTCCACCCCATGCAATTATCAGCAATGCCTGAGCTTCTATGAGGTCCAACAAGCTGGTTGGCCTCGGTCCTCATTGAATCCCTCTCCTCATTCTACAATAATAGTTCCTTTGCTTTTGCTGTAATTTTCACAGAAATAGTTCCAAAGTAAACTCACTATTGTGCTTGCTTTTATATCTAATAAGATGCAGCCTGCTGATCTATCCTTCTTTTCTTCACCGAATTTAAGCTTTTCCTATTCAACTTCATTGCATCTCTCTTTCAGTTTCCGGAGACATTACTTCGAGATCAAAGCTGGAACTAACACTTGCAGGTAATTTAACTCAATAAGCTTTTTTTCTCATTTAAATAGGTGACAGTTTGCCTCTCTTATCTTTGTTCTTGCATGAAATTGTTGCTTCCTCTTATTTTGTTCATTTACGCTGAAATCAAAGCTACAGCTTAGATGGTATCCAACTATCTATTCAAATTCAACTTGGGGACCCAAGTTATCCAAATGTTTCTGCTTCCTCTTGTGTCCACATTTTGGCTTATATTAAAGTCACAGTTGCAGTTGTCAATTTAGGACACTAGGATGCCTTGGGTAGTTGCAGACACCATCTGGAGCTAGTGGAGATAAAAGGATTTTTGAAGTCTCCTCAGACATTCAACAAAAGATTATCGGGTCATTTTCCTTTTAAGCGCCGAATCTTTATAACATGTTTGCTCACGGTTTCCATAATGTCTAGACTTGATATTTACACACTACTCAGTGGGACTTCTGATGTGGTAGGCTAACACATTTCTATAGATAATGCAACTTGCATTATAATAAGCTTTGGCTAGTGAAGGGGAGTTTAAAATCAAGATCTAAAAGTTCTTAAGAGTTTTGTACTGAGCTTTCTTCAACCTTTTAGTTAGTGTCTCAGTGATCTGATTTAGTGCTCAAGTTGCTCTATGTTTCTTGTGTTCAGTTTAGCTCAACATAAGATTCCTCCCTTTCTCTACTGGACAACAGCTCACTAGTACAAAAAAAACAAAAACAGCAGCCAATTCCTCTAGCAAAAGAGTTGATCTAACAGCGCGATGTAGACATCTGCTCAGCTTGATTTCCAAGCTAACTCATTACGATGACACTTTAATTCCAACCAACATACTCCTACATATATGCATTATATTATCAAAAGGATATGAGAGAAACAAGTCAAAACCTTTAGAAAATAAACATAAAAGAGGACTCCTTACATAGGATATTAGGCTACACTAAATCAGGAATTTTCCTAGTTAACCTAGCCTTGAATAATGAACTAGACACGTGTAACATTTAAATTAGAGGAGTTCTCTCCATTAAAAACTACATAAAATTTGGTAAGCACCTGTTTCTCTTTTCGGTATGTCCTTCTCTGCTTATATCTACATGTTAACTTTCTGCACTTCATAAACACAAACAATGTTTTTCAGCTAAGCACCTACTCTTCTCTTGCATCGTTCTCCTTTTTCTTTTGTTCTTCTCCATCTCTATACTTAAGTCTGCTATAACAAAAGTTTTCCCTGCAGTTCTTCTCTGAATTAAAACGAATCTAAACTAGTTCTATAAGATTAGAATATATGGCTTGCTGCATCAGACTCTTTTATGTCTAATTAAAACAATTGTGGAGGGCATCCCACAATTGACTATCAGTAGATAACAATTTTCATGCACCAATAACAGAATAAACTAGTGTTATATGCGAGATTGCGAGCACATTGATTTTCAGTTTCATTCACCATTAAGGCATTAACAGATTGCCTTTTCCAACTGATCAAACTCACATTGACAGTATTACATCCAGAAAACAAAATCAACCAATTAGATA